TTGGGTAGTTATTTCACTTTCATGGAGGCCACTAATAATTGACATACTCAACTATTTGTCAGAAGGGATTCACTGTGTTGTCAACCTTCGAGACATGGAGCGTTCCCCTCCTGAGAGCACCCCGCTGAATGTCTTCTAGCCTTGAAATGTGCTATAGATCAAGGCCTCCAAACAGTATCTATTCCCACACAGCCTGCCATCTGTGCCTGCCTCCCTGTTCTGGGCAAGCCTCTTACTAACTGCTTCTCAATGCTCTAAACGCCTTAACCTCTGAAACGTCCACCTTCACTTTCTTCCTGTCTTGGGCACAGTTATTATTCAGAACTGCCCCTCCCCTAAAACCTTAAATAGTCTTCTCCAGTCTCTGCACAACTTCTCATAGCCTGAACTTTCTAACACTCTCTTCTCTCTTGTCCCTTCCTCATTGGGAATCCCCTTTCCCAGGTCTTATTTCTGTTTTCACTTTTTATCAGCCCATTTCCTGACCTTCTCCAGCCATGTGTGCTACTTGACTTGGTCCCTCAGATAGAACCTCTGGCTTTATGAGCCTCTCACACCAACTCTCTGACTACAGCCTAAAAGGATCACACAACTAGACACATTAATATCAATATCAAATACAGGCTTTTCAACCCAATGCTGAAAAAATAGATATTTTGCTGGTCTTTATTCAGGGTTCCTTTTCTTCTCGGTGATTATGTTAAACACTGTGCCTGTTAAGCACACTCTTTTATTTCTATTCAGCTCTTCTTCTGCTCTCTTCATTGGTGCAGTGGTCTCTCTCTCTCTCTCTCTCTCTCTCTTTTAAGAGTTGATTTTTTTTTTCCATAGGGCATGTGTGCCTGCCGGAGAGAGAGAGAAATAGACACAGTGAGAAGGAAAATGAGAAATTACCCACCGGGAGGATGGCTATGTCACAATCCCTTCTCCTCCATTCATTCCCAGGATCTGGTTCATGCACACACACACACACACCTGGCATGATTTTCAAGCCTCCAGATCCAGGACTTGAACCACAGTCAACCATGTGGGAATCCAGTGACATAACCACTATGCCATCTGCCGGTCCCTGGTGCAGTGGTCTCTTAATGAGTCTCCCTGACTCATTAATAGTCCTTCCCCATTCCAATGTCTCTCTGCATTGCAGTCAGAACACACTCTTTTGTAAATTAAATTAAAATTTTAAAAGTGTTTTTGCTATATAGCTCATGTGCTTGCTGGAGAGAGACTGTAAAGAGAGAGAAAGAGAAAACGAGAAATCATCCCTTGAGGGGATGGCCGCCGTGCAATCACTTCTCTGCCATTCTCCTCTTAACATTTTGAATATGAATGCAAATGTGCTTGGCGTATTTTTCAAGCTGCCAGGTCTGGAACTCAGCACAGTCAACCATGTAGGATCCAGCCACTGTCACCTGATTGGGCTTCAGAACACTCTCTAAAATGCATTATATCTTTCAGTGACTTCTTGTATCTTATGGGATAACTATCTTTCTGACCAAAAAAACAAAAATAAAACAAACAAACAAACAAAAAAAAAAAATAAAACAAAAAAAAAACAAAAACCAAAAAACAAAAAAAATCCAAAAACAAACCAAAAAAACCCCCAAAAACCCCAAAACAAAACCTTTCCTTTTTTAAAAAATTAATTGTGAGAGGGTGTATGCATTTGCCAGAGAGAAAGAGAAAGGAGAAAACACCCCTTCCCCAATGGGGCATGGTCATGCCACAATCTCCTCTCCTCCTTTTCCCTATCCTATTGAGATTTGGGGCACACACATAACCAACCATGTTTTCCAAGCCTCTGAGTCTGGGAATCAAAACAAAGTTGGTCATGCGCAATCCAGCTGCCTTAATCATTTGGATATGAGATAAGCCCCTCATGGTCCTTTCTTTATGTTTTAATTTTTGTTAATGAAATACCATATGAGGCAAAATGCAGTGGTCTCTCTCTCTCTCTCTCTCTCTCTCTTTTAAGAGTTGATTTTTTTTTTCCATAGGGCATGTGTGCCTGCCGGAGAGAGAGAGAAATAGACACAGTGAGAAGGAAAATGAGAAATTACCCACCGGGAGGATGGCTATGTCACAATCCCTTCTCCTCCATTCATTCCCAGGATCTGGTTCATGCACACACACACACACACCTGGCATGATTTTCAAGCCTCCAGATCCAGGACTTGAACCACAGTCAACCATGTGGGAATCCAGTGACATAACCACTATGCCATCTGCCGGCCCCTGGTGCAGTGGTCTCTTAATGAGTCTCCCTGACTCATTAATAGTCCTTCCCCATTCCAATGTCTCTCTGCATTGCAGTCAGAACACACTCTTTTGTAAATTAAATTAAAATTTTAAAAGTGTTTTTGCTATATAGCTCATGTGCTTGCTGGAGAGAGACTGTAAAGAGAGAGAAAGAGAAAACGAGAAATCATCCCTTGAGGGGATGGCCGCCGTGCAATCACTTCTCTGCCATTCTCCTCTTAACATTTTGAATATGAATGCAAATGTGCTTGGCGTATTTTTCAAGCTGCCAGGTCTGGAACTCAGCACAGTCAACCATGTAGGATCCAGCCACTGTCACCTGATTGGGCTTCAGAACACTCTCTAAAATGCATTATATCTTTCAGTGACTTCTTGTATCTTATGGGATAACTATCTTTCTGACCAAAAAAACAAAAATAAAACAAACAAACAAACAAAAAAAACAAAATAAAACAAAAAAAAAAAAAACAAAAAACAAAAAACAAAAAAAATCCAAAAACAAACCAAAAAAACCCCCAAAAACCCCAAAACAAAACCTTTCCTTTTTTAAAAAATTAATTGTGAGAGGGTGTATGCATTTGCCAGAGAGAAAGAGAAAGGAGAAAACACCCCTTCCCCAATGGGGCATGGTCATGCCACAATCTCCTCTCCTCCTTTTCCCTATCCTATTGAGATTTGGGGCACACACATAACCAACCATGTTTTCCAAGCCTCTGAGTCTGGGAATCAAAACAAAGTTGGTCATGCGCAATCCAGCTGCCTTAATCATTTGGATATGAGATAAGCCCCTCATGGTCCTTTCTTTATGTTTTAATTTTTGTTAATGAAATACCATATGAGGCAAAACTTTTTTTCTCTCTCTCTTCGCTTTTTTCACTCAATTATCCATATGTGACAGGAAGAAATGCATCTGGGTAATGAAGCCTATGGTCTCTTGTAAGTTAATCTCGATTCAGGCCACAAGAAGTCTTTCATTCTTCAAGTGAAAATTCAGTAGGAAAAGGCTGGCTCCTGCAGGGGTGAGGAAAATACAAAGGATCCCAGTTCCTGTTGAATATGGCTTCAACAAAAAAGCTGATAATTTTGAGTCTTTTCTGTGTCTGTAACTGTATCACTTCAGAATCTAAAGAAAGGGCATGAGTAATTAGCATTTACAAATCTATTCATAAGAGACCCTCAGTTATCTGGATCTTGTTGCTTTTGGCGTATCCTTCTGTGCCTGTACCTCTCGACACACCAATGACCCCTGACCTCTGACCACCAAACGGGCTGTGATCCAGCCATTTCAAACTATTTGTAGATCCTTACCTGGGTCTATCTCATGTGCACACGCAGAATAAAGCCATTTTCCATTCTGAGTCTCCGTTACACTCATCCTTTCACCTCTGCTCAAGTCTTACCATCTCTATAAAGTCTTCTCTGATTAACCCCAAGTAGAGACGTCCACTTCTTGCATTGTGTCCCCACTGTTTATTTCTTTCTTTTTTCCTTTAAGGTTTTTGCCATAGGGCACATGTACTCACCAGAGACAGACAGAGAAAGTGAGAATTCACCCTCCATGGTGGATGGCCATGATGCAATCCCTTCTCTTCCATTCTCTTTTTGGAATTTTGGGCATGCACAAGCATGTTCCTGGTGTGATTCTCAAGAAGCTGGATTCAGGGCTCGAAGCACAGTCGGCCATATGGGATCCTGCACCTTAACCACCATGCCTCCTGCTGTCCTCTCCCCAGTGTTTCTCATACTTTCCTCTCTTGTAGCAGTTTTCCCATGCTTTTACAATTAGTAGGTTATATTCTTTCAGAGTGCCAAGCTATGCCTTATTCACTCATGTACTTTCTCTGCCCAGTGAATTGCCTTGAACTCATGGACACTAAAAGCTTTGTACTGAACATAATAATAAGTAAATGAAGAAATACAGGACTAAAAATGAATGCCTACAATAAACCAAGCTTTGTGCTGAGTGACCTGAATATTACAAAGAATCTAAAATATCTCACGGCAGAGGGAAAAGTTATCCAACTTGAAACAGCAAGGGTTATGTTAGCCTATGAGGGTGGGCAGGCTGGAATTGAGCAACAGTTGGAGTAAAGCTATACTTACTGATACAGCAAGGCGTTGGGGCCCGAGGGACCTGGGGTCATGTTGCTCAATCTGCATCATATGTTAGACCTAAGGACCACCTGAGTCTAGTGATCATGGTGCTCATGACACAGGACCTGTTTCATTCAGCTTCCAAAGACAGGCATACACTAGCACAAGCACAGAAGAGATCTATGCACGGACCCTTTGCTTAGCACTGGAAAGCTGGTTTGAAGGTAATAAAGCTGCATTTATATGCAGAGATTGATGCCTTGACCCTAGAGCATGTCTAAGGAGATGCACCTCCAAGGGCAACTCTGCATCTGCTCTAGTTTCCATATTCTCTAGGCACTTCCCTATGGAGTAAGAGAATCAGATTGGCCTACTCCTCCCACACAGCACGCTTGAAGGCTGAGCACTGCCTGGCCTTCTAATGAGAGATGCTGCATTTTTGGTACCTGCCTTTCCTATGGGAGCTGTCTCCCCTGTTTACATGGAGAAGGGGTAGAAGCAGAGATGGATAGAAGTGGGCTCACAATGGCACGAAGTCATGATAGCCTGAGTTTGTGTGTGTGTGTGTCATTTCGGTTTTGGCATCTTTCTGCCAGTTCCGGCCACCTCCCTTCCTCTAAAGCATGCTGAATTCAGCAATTCCAACTCTATAAGCCCTGTCCCCTGGGCTCATTGGGTTCTGGACATCTGATAATGCTGTTGCTGCACTGGGGTCCTGCCTCTATTCCCTCTCTTAGTCAGAACTGAATATTGCTGCTCAGACACCTTCGTCCAGACGTAGATTTCCACGCATCACCTTCAGCTGCCTGGATCATGGCTCTGCTCTTCTCCTTAATCTTTGGTGAGTATCTCTGCTTCTGTTGGTGTAGGCTTTAGAGTTTTCTGGAATGCTTATTTAGAAAGTTCTTTCCCTGCCCACCTGGCACAGATTTGGGTATCTTTTGTAGTGTGGACTTCTCCCTCCCTTCTAAATATGCAATGGTTCTATACTCTACCAAGCCCCTTAGTCCATTTTGATTACCAGATTTTCTTTTCTATTTCCCTATATTACATTAAAAGACTTATGGTAGTTTATCCCATTTCCTTTTTTACATCTATTTTCTTAGATGGACTGTTTATAAGGAGACAAGTGAAAGGACCCTGGGTAGCAGCAGGTGGAGTCAGGGAAGAAAGCAGAACAGCAGGGCATGCCCTTTCTACTGATGCTATTGTCCACTTTCCTCTGAAAAACGTCTAATACAATGTTTCCCTAATTTTCTTCAGTTTACTTATTTATTTATTGTTTACTCATTTAGCTCTTCTGAGAGAGAGAGAATCCCCAACAGGGTCCTGAGGCCATGATTTGACCCCAGACACCAGTCAGTCCAGGCTCATGGACACAGATGTGCCCAGCATACTCAGGAAGGTCTCTGGCCTGGAACTTGAAATCTTTCTACGTGAGAGTATTAATTTTACCTCTGTGCCTCCAACTGATCACCTTGGTTTCTGATTGCCTAGGTTACTCTAGAGATTAATGAATCCCCAAAAGATTAATTAATTAAATCTCAAAATTAATTAATCAGGAGGTTTTAGAGCCAAAGCGACCTGAGTTTCAATCCTGGATCTTTGATTTTTTTAGCTGTCTGCATTTGTAGGTCACCCTACCTCTCTGCTATTTCATGCTCTCAGCTGCGAAGTGGAGATAGTACCGCGTTTCTCAGAGCTTTGTTAGGAGGCTTTGCACAAGAGAACCAGCACAGGACATCTACTGATGCCTGCTGAAACTCCACCCTGATCAGTCACGTCCATTGCTGTTGTCCTTGATGACAGTGAATTGCAGAAGCCCACACAATCTTTCAGTGGGCCACCTGTGGAGGGTGCTGGCCATTTCTTAAACATCTGAACTTTCCTACAGCAACCAGCAGCTAGCCCTGCCGCTCATGGGTGTACCAAGGAGCCTCCCAGCCTCAACTGCAGTCCCGCCTCCTTCATGAAGTCTAACAGTTTATGACACATCAAAGTGATATAGAATTTGAACTTCAGTGTTCATAAATAAAAGTTGATTGAAACGTAGCCCTGCTCTCTCATACTACTGTACAATAGCAGACTTGAGAAATCGCAGCAGAGACCAGGTGGTCCATGAAGCCTAAACTATTTACTGTCTGGCTTTTTACAGAGTTTGCCGATCTGCATCTAAGTGCAGTGCCAGTGAGCACAGGAGTGCCCTGCCCCTTTTCTCCACTTGCTGGATCATCCCCAGGGCATTATTGCCTTTCCCTCCAATGCAGTCTCCCGAAGGTTTCCAGCAGTCTTTTCTGTTGAGTCCAGAGGCTGCATCACTGCTCTTTCACTTTAGTCTGGAGTAAGACTCATCATCTCAAGAAAAAAGGAAAGTTTATTGAGAACAAGAGCTCCTGGCATCTGAAGCTGCAGGTGCCTCAGCACTTGCCAGGAGGGAGGGGATTTCTTTTATAGGGCAATTAAACTATTCTGGGACACTGTATGCAAGACCAATATGCAGGGGAGTTTTAAAAATCTATCTCCAGGATTCCTTCGTGTCGTTGTCTGCTACTCCCTGGGCAGTGTGACCTTGCAGTAGCAGCACCTGGAGTGGAGGCTCCTGCCCAGACCAGTTCTGCAGAGGTCTGGCCTTGGCTTCTTATCAGGCCTGGAGCAATAACAGATGGTGCTCAGAAGAGCTTTACTGAATGGGACTTTACAGCAGTAATAGCCAATCAATCTAATTGACTAGAACAGAAAGCGTAATATATCCCTGCCAGTGTGGGGTAAGCCACCATCACAGGGAAAGGGGAAAGGTTGGGTCAGTTAGCTGTGGGACAGTTGGACTGAGTGGTTCCTAGTCAGTGTCCTTGTGTTCTTCAATGGTCTCAACAGGACTGATCTCAGAGGTCCTGTGTCTACCACTCCAGTCATCTCACAGAGTTTGGCAAGGGCCTACTAGACAGTCACGTGTGCTTTGAACGAGCCTTGGAAATTGACTCTATGACCTCCTTTTCTTCTTTCTTCCCCAGCTATTTGCACTGGACCTGGCCTATCAGGTAAGGCCTTTTGGGATTCTGGAGGAGAAAGCCTCCAAGCTCAGGAGAGGGGAAATTTTGAAGCTTCTTAGACCATGGAAAAAGACTCATTCAAAACGGGCCCAGTAAACTCCCTTTTTGGTTTCTTATTCAATCCTCTCTGCCCTTTGCGAGTGAATATCCTGCACCAGACGGGGTTAGGGTGGTTATACTGCCAGGGAAGGCTTGGCCCGCAACTGAGTTGGCGATAGCTTCACCTGCAGAAGCACTGTTCCCCCTTGAGGGCTTATCTGGGAAATGAGCCTCCTTTTCCCCTGCTGGGTTCTAGCACATCTAGGTCCTCCTGACAAGTTTAATACACGTTTTGTTTTGTTTTGTTTCATTTCGTTTCTGAAGGGTGTATGAGCTTAGCAGAAAGAAACAGAGATATGGAGTGTGCGTACGAGAGAACACCCCTCAATGGAGTATGGTCGCATTGCAATCCCTCTTATCCATCTCACCATCCTGTCAGGATTGTGGGCATGGATGCACAAGCACCCAGCATATTTTTCAAATTGCTTGAGACAGGACCTGAACCACTGGGTTGGCCGTATGGGATCTGGCTCCCTTAACCACCAGGCCATGGTGCTGCCCTAAAAATCTTTTATTTGAATTAAAAATGCATCTGCTCGATACAGTACATGACTTGATCAGATGAGTACTGGCTTAATTTCAGCCTCTGTTGGTTATCTCCTGAAAAGAAGTTTTGGGGGGACCAGCAGTTAGCGTAATGACTATGTCACTGGACTCTCATGTAGTCGACCGCGGTTCGAGTTCTGGAGCCGGTGGCTCAAACTCATGCCGGGTGCGTGTGCGTGCGTGCCCAAGATCCCAAGAGGAGAATGGAGGAGAAGGGATTGCGGCGTGGCCATCTCCCCTGGGGGGTGATTTCTCGCTTTCTGTCTCTCTGTCTCTGTCTGTCTGGTGAGCATCCCCATCAGAAAAACCTTGCCAAAAAAAAAAAAAAAAGAGGCTTTGGACAATACAGAAATTGTACACCCAAGGAAAGACTGGGGTGCCCAGAAATAAATGGTCTATGAGAGAGGATGACTATGATAGTGCAGACTATCACAGTTGTGGATCATCAGTTTCTTTTATATTATACCTCCAGGTACTACTTTTCATAATTCCAGAGGCTTTATCATACAAGCTCTGCTGTGTGTGGGGAACATCCTTTTTTTTGGGGGGAGGGAGAGGCTTTTGCTATAGGGCACGTGCACTCACCAGAAAGAGAAACAGAAAGCGAGAAATCACCCCCCAGGAAGGATGGCCATGCCACAATCCCTTCTCTTCCATTCTCCTCTCAGGATCTTGAGCACACATGCACATGCATCCGACGTGAGTTTAAGCCATCGGGTCTGGGACTTGAACTGCGGTCGACTACATGGGAGTCCAGCGACATAGCCATTACACTAACTGCTGGTACTGTGTAGAGAACATCCTATATCCTACTGGATGCAATTGATTCTTTAAGGAGAGCTGCTTTTGGGTTCTCAACTCAACATTCAGATTAATTGGTCTTTTATCTTGACCTCCAAGGCTGTCCTTCACTACTGGTGCGGAGACAACCACTGTCCTTACAGCTTCCTCAGGATGCTGCTCCTCCACCCTCTGTGTCCTTTTCTCTCTTTCTTTCTTTTTTTTTTTTTCATAGACCATAGCTTAATTTATTTTTAGCACCCATCATGTCATGGATTAATAGGGAATAGTTTCCAGAAACTCAAGCTTCTTTCTATTGGTTCTCACCAAGTTTGCTTCTCTGGATGGAGCAGGTTGGCACTTCAGTTGAACCCAGGTCCCTTTCTCTTTGACTTCCTTCTCCTTCTGGTCATTTTCCTTCACACGTTTTAGGAAGCTATCTCTGCTCTTAGAATGCTTAGTATGTTTAATACACACATGCATTCTCTTGGCAAGAATTTTGCCCTTAACTTGTTTGTTTATGACAGTACCAACAGCATACTGGGTAACTCTTCCAGTTTTGTCATGGCAACATTTGTGGGGCATTCATTTTTGAACAGGACTCATTCCCTTGATGTCTACAATATCACCTATCTTATAGATTCATGTGTATGTGTCAAAGGAGCCATTCCATGTTTTCCAGAAGGCCTAGAGAACATATATCGGGTGCCTCTCCTCTTTTCCTTTGTGTTTGTCAACTTGATGAATTACCAAAAGATGACGGTTCTGGCCAAAAGGGTCTGGGTCTTTTTCTTAAGCTCTCTGCTGATAAAAGAAGCTAAAGACACTACCCAGGACACCGCACCCCGGTGACCTCCTCTAGTCTTTTCTCTGCCTTGCAAATCTTTTCTCAGTCCTTTTTCCCCACAAGCTGGATTTTTTTTTTAATACTTACTCTCTTTATTTCTTTCTTTTTCTCTTTTTCTCCTTATTTTATCTCTTTCTTTTTTTTTTTTTAAACATATTTCTTCTTTGCCAGGGACTGTTTTAGTCTTTTCCACTCAATGAGAAATAAAAGCTTGTTAAAAGGGAAATTTTACAATCTGTAATAGATAACTTGTGTACGATCCTGATAGCTACTATTTCCTGGAGTATACAGTAATGCCAGTACAAACTCGTCTTACATACAGTGACTCCAAAATTATTTCCAGGTGACCCTTTTTGAATTACACTCATTCTATGATGTATAAGCCTTAAAACAGGTATGCAAAAAAGTATACTTTTTCTTAATTGTTATGGGTAAATTTAATTTCTATTTCTAGCCTCTATTCATCACACTGCTCTGCTCCTCCTAAAAAATTTAAGGAGGAAATGAAGAGAAATCTGCAAACCAAACATCAACTTTCCGATGCAGTTTAAGATCATCCAGACAACAGTTTTTTCCCCTGGATCATTTCTCCTGGATTGAGACCAAGTTCTAAAGATTTGTGCGGAGCTGAGACAAGGCAGGCAGTGGGAATTCTGGTCCTCATGAGTCATATTTCATTCGTACAGGCACCTGGGCCATCCCATGAGGCCATGCTGATCTCCACTAAGTTGTCTGTATCCCAACAGGCCTCTGATCACCAGTACAAATGCACCTTCTCCTAGTGCACCATGCATAAATGCATGTCAAATTTAGCCTTTTGCTACATTTCTCTGAGGCTGAAAGAAACTTGGCATGCTTCCCTCAAATCCCCTAAATATAAGTTCTTGAAGGGCTGAAATTCTGTCTTGTTTGTCACCATCCCCTGAGTTCATCAAACAATATCTGAAATATAGTATGTACTCAGCAAATGCTTGTTTTTCTTTCATTTGTTTGTTTTTTTTGTCTTTTTTTTCCACATTATTTATTATTTGTTTTTTTGTATATACTTTCAATCATATTGTTTGGCTTACAATGAGACCATTTCGATATGTGCACATTTCTCCCCAGACCCATTGATCAAAATATCTTTAACAGATAACACCACGCCTCCCCATCCCGTCAATGCTCTACCTCTGTATCCCTTCTCCAAAGCAAATGCTTGTTACGTGATCAGCTCTTTCACACTACACAGTTATCTCTGCTCTTTTAGGTCTTGGTGGAAGGAAGAGAATTACCGTTAGTCTTTTCCACCCCCAGTGTCTAGTCAGGAAGCTGAGTCAAGTCCTTGATTCTTCAGAACTTATCTGGAGGCTTTGTGGTGCCTCTTTTCCATCCCTGACTCTCAGAATCTTCTAGACAAGTATTGTGGCTGAGATGCTGATGCTGATGCTGATGTTTTATTTGCCCTGCGTCCTCCATCTTTTTTTTTTTTTTTTTTTTTTGATTGTAGTCATTGAACATGGGAAAATGTCATAAAAGCAGCAAGAGTGGGTACAGTAGGAGCCTGTTAGTGGGAGAGAGAAAGTTAAGCTGTTCGGGCTAGCTCCATAGCTCTGCAGTTAAGGGAGCCAGATCCCACATGGCCAACCATGGTTTGAATCCTGGCACTGGTGGCTTGAAAAACACACCAGGTATGTGGGTATGCGTGCCCAAAATCCTGACAAGAAGAAGGGATGGAGACCTTATCAGAATGACCTTTCCAATTGATATTTCTACCCATATTCTGACACAACCACTTAGGTCATCTTTAAGAAGCTTCATACTTTCTCTACAGTTTTTCTCTTCTTCTGAGCCCTCACCACCAACATCCTGTATGCTTTGTTCATATCAATGTAGACTTTTTCTAGTCCGTTTCTCCAATTCTTCTAGCTTGTGCCTATCACCAGTTCCACATCTGCTACCACATTTTCGGGTATTTGTTCGATCAACAGCCTCACTTCTCAGTATCAGTTTTTGTGTTTGTTTTGTGGTACTAAAACAGAATACCTGAGTCTGCATAATTCCTAGACAATAGAAATGTATTTCCCATTGTTCCAAAGGCTGAGAAGTCTAAAATCAACAAAATGGCAACTGGCAAGGGTCTTCTAACTACATTAATCCATGGCAGGAGATAGAAGGGCAAGAAAATGCAAGAAAGAGTAGAAAAGGCCTCCCACTCCATTGGTAACAGATCTACTTCTGAGATAATAAACTCATCCTGTGATAACAGCATTAATCCATTCATGAGGGTGGTGCTTACATGGCCTATTCCCTTCTTATTAGGTTCCACTTCCCAACAATTTTGGGTGGGGTGATTAAGTTCCCAACGAATCCTCTTTTGGACACATGTTCAAGCCATAGCCCCAGCTGTTATCCTTTCTCTTTACAGAGTCTTCACCCAGACTGCGACTTGTTGGAGGCCCCCACCGTTGTGAAGGAAGAGTGGAGGTGGAACGGGATGGCCAGTGGGGTACTGTGTGTGCTGATGACTGGAACCTAGAGGCTGTGGCTGTGGTATGCAGGGAAAGAGGCTGCGGAGAAGCCAAGGAGCCTCTCAGTGGTACTGCATATCTGCCTTCAGAAGACAACGAACAACAAGTTCTTATACAAGATGTCAGTTGCAATGGGTTGGAAGATACGCTGGATCAGTGCAAGAAAACCGAAGATGGATTCAATTGCTGGAGGAACCATACTGCAGGGGCACGGTGTGATAGTGAGTATGAGGGCATACAGGCCAACTACTCTACACCATGCAGCCTCCCTTGTCAGTCTTTATTCCCTACCGTGGATTTTCACACAATGCCTAATTGGCCCCGTATTCTTCACACTTTCTCAATTGTAAGCACTGGAGACAAATATTTTCTCACCTAGAGTTGTTATTTTACTTGGTTGAACTAATGTTTTTCTCCTAGTTTCAGTCTAAATGAAAACCTGTTTGCCTTCACACTCATACATTAACAAAGATGTGCAGGTATCCAGCAAACACTGAATGTTTGTTGACTAGTATCCCAAGCTGGGGAGGGGGGACTTATGGGGGAAGAAAGGAGCTCATACAGTGTAATATGGCTTCAGTTTCAGTTCTCAAGGAGACTACTATTTAGTTAGGTAGACTGGAGGCACTCACAGAAAATCAGCACAATCAGATAGATGATAAATAGATTGATCCGCATTCCTTATGTCTTTGGTCTCTATGAATTGATAGTTTATTGTCCTATGTATACATTCTCCTCCATTAGACTGTGATGGGACTGTGTCTGCCCAAGGAACTTGTTACAAGGGAAAATACCACTTTGTGCCCTGACACTGAGGTCTCATTTCTACGTTTTAGGAAGATTGAAGGTTGGGATAAGTAATCTTGGATGCTTGGTTTATAATATCAACACTAACCCAAAAGGTTATACACACACACACACTCACACACACACACACACATATATATAAAATCTCAACCTTTCTTTTTTTTTTTTTTTTTGAGAAGTTTTTGCAATAGGGCACATGCCCTTGCCAGAAAGAGACGGAAAGACAGAAAGCAAGAAACCACCCCCCAGGGGGGATGGCCACACCACAATCCCTTCTCCTCCATTCTCCTCTTGGGGTCTTGGGCACACATGCACACATGCCTGATGTGAGTTTAAACCACCAGGTCTGGGACTTGAACCACAGTCGACTACATGGGAGTCCAGCAACGTAGCCGTTACACCACCTGCTGATCCTCTCAACCAACCTTTTGTGATGAACAAATGAAAAGTTAAATGTGAAAATAATTGGGAAAATTAAATATGCTACAGAAATAATTATTGATTCAACCTGGAACTGAAAACCTAAACTTAAATTTATTTTCATTAAAAAAAAAACCATAAGTAATTTTTAAAAATTTAATTTCATTGATTCACTCATCTATTATTTATGCACATATTTATGAGGTATGATGTGATCTTTTGATATATGTATAAGTTGTTTCATGATCAAATCAGGATATTTAGTATACTCATCATCTCAAATAACTATCATTTCTTTGTGGTGAGCTCATTCAAAATGCTTTCTTCTAGTTATTTTGAAATATATAATACACTCACTCATTCTTTCAGCAAGTGTCTATTAGGCAGTACTAAGCTCTCTCTAGTATACATTATCATGAAACTCCAGGAGCTGAGAGATTTGTACATTGAGCCCCTTGAAAGAAATGATCACTTCCTCTTTTTTTTTTTTAAAGTTATTTATTTCTCCCATGCATGAAAGAGATGGGAAAAGAGAGAGACAGCATTCCCAACAGGGTCTTAATGCCCCAATCCACCCCCAGCTTCAGCCAGCCCTTAATAGTGAGCATGCATATGCCCAGCAGGGAGTCTCTAGATGTAAAACCAAATCTTCCCATGTAGTCAACCTGGCAGAGTATTGGGTTTTAGGGCTATACCACTGTCAAGTCCTCTATACTTTCTCTTTCTTTCTTTCCAGATCCAGAGAGCTCTATACCTCCAGTCTTAGAGAGCGTGAGGCTGGCTGATGGCCCTGGGCGCTGTAAGGGGCGATTGGAGGTGGGACACCAGGGCCAGTGGAGCACTGTATGCAAAGCAGGCTGGAACCTCCAGGATGCAAAGGTGGCATGCCGGCAGCTAGGATGTGGGCGGGCCGTGTTGACCAAAAGATGCTGCAGCAAGGCTACCCAGGGCCAAGGACCCATCTGGCTAAGCCAGATGTCATGCTCGGGACAAGAAGCAACCCTTCAGGACTGCCCCTCTGGACCTTGGGGGAAGATCAGCTGTACCCATGATGAGGACACCTGGGTTGAATGTGAAGGTAATGCCTCTGAATTCAGAGACCAGGTTCATTCACGGATTTGCCTAAATAAAATCCCATTTAAACAAGATTTATGGAGAACTACTGATGCACCAGGCAAGCTTTGCAAAATTATTTTACCATGCTGATCATCGATTATCTTGTTTTTAGCATGGATATAATAATACTTGCCTTTGTCTTTAAAAATGTTTTAAATGATATGAAGCTTTAAATAATATTAAGTTCATACAATGATACGAAGTGTTATTACATTGACATTTATATAACAGGGACAGGTCACGTCATTCCATGTATTTTTTAAGTTCTTCAATTAAAAAAATACTAGAGGGACATTTACAGATATCAGGTTTATGAAATAGATGGAGAAATGAAAAGATCCTAGTTAAGGAAACAGATCAGGGCCACAGGGTCTTGAACTTGATGAAGACCTAGGGAAGGCACTCTAATCCCAGAAACACATATGGAGAGTTTCAAGTGCTGATGAGGTCTGGGTGAGGCTGTAGATGATATTATTTTTTCTATTTGCTCTTTTCTCCAACTCCCATCTTTCTCTTCCACCCTGCAGAGGCCTTTGACTTGAAGTTGGTAGGAGGAGACAGCCTCTGCTCCGGGCGACTGGAGGTGTTGCACAAGGGTGTGTGGGGCTCTGTCTGTGATGACGGCTGGGGAGAGAAGGAGGACCAAGTGGTCTGCAAGCAGCTGGGCTGTGGAGCCCCCCTCTCTCCATCCCCCAAAGCCCGGAAAACCTATGGCCTGGGGGTTGGACGCATTTGGCTGGATGACGTCTATTGTTCAGGGGAGGAGCTCTCTCTGGAGCAGTGCCAGCACAGGTTTTGGGGGTTTAATGACTGCAGCCACAAGGAAGATGTGGCTGTGATCTGCTCTGGTAAGTCCTACAGATGGATGGAGTTCATGAGGACAATGGAGGAAGAGGGGATAAGGGTAGCTCTACAGTGTGATAGAGCTGCCCACAGTCATCACCTGCTCCAGGTTTACTTCCAGGATACGACGGGCATTCTAGTAGGTTTCCTTTTTATGGGGGAGGGAGGAAAAGCAGGTACATGGGTAATGTAATAAGTAAAACCACAGAGTTATTGAAGATGAGACCAAAGGTATTTAGGAAAGTATCAGATCAATACTTTTATTAAACAGGAAGAAAGTGAAAGTTAGAGAAAATAAGCAAATATCCAAAATCATAAAAATAGTTTTCAAATCATATAAAAGAACTATAATGAATAGTCTTTACTCCCAACTCAGTATTAATTCTCTTAGATGATCCTCCAACCCTCAAATCCTGTTTAAACTATGGACAATGGTCCCACCTCATTCTATTTGTTGTCACTCCCCACATTTTATTTATTTATTTGTTTTTATTTTTATTTTTTGGAGAGGTTTTTGCTATAGGGCATGTGTGCTCGCCAGAAAGACAGAGAGAGACAGAGAGACAGAAAGCAATAAATCACCACTGGTGAGATGGCCACATGGCAATCCCTTCTCCTCCATTCTCCTCTCAGGATTTTGAGCATGCATGCACATGCACCTGGCATGAGTTTAAGCCACCAAGTCTGGGACTTGATCCATGGTTGACTACATGGGAGTCCAGTGACATAGCAATTAAGCCAACTGCTGGTCCCATTACTTCCTACATTTTAAGTGAGCCTGTGAGAGCAGGTCTATGGTCAGAGGCTCTTTGAGTATGTCCATGAGTCTTATCAGAGAGACTGGCATGGCAGACTTAAACCAAAACCTCTTTAGGGAAATGAAGGGGAAAATCCTGCAACAACTTGGGCAAAGAAATTCAAGGGCTGCCCCTGGGTGGCTAACATAAGAGAGTTCCAGGTTGTGTACTTAGAGTTGGGAGTTGGCTGTGTAGGGCTACTTGGCTGAACAACTAACTCTGGAACTAGACAAGAGCTAATAGTCGACCAAGAGGTATGGGGAGCAGTTGGTGCTCAGAAAAGAATGAATTTAGTGGCAGAAGCTCAGGTAGGGGTTGAACCCCACTGGTGCTACTTTGAAGCTGTACAGTTTCTAATAGCCACTTACCTGCTCTGAATTAAGTACCTTTACCTGTAAATAGGGAGACACCTTTCCAATTAACTTTAAGGACTTCTGCAATTAAGTGAAGATAAGACATATTTAATATGTGTGAAGACTGTGATTCACACAGAGACTGGCTGAATAAGTCCCCAGATTCTGCACCAGATTCTGACCTGGCTCACATCAGTGTGAGAAAGCGTGTAGCTTCCTCTTTCCTATTCTGGACCCCAGTCTTCCTTAGCTGATTTGGTCTTACATGGAATAATCCCTTCTGGTCTATCTCCATCCTTACACATTTTCCTCTTTTCTTTACAGAATAGTATCCTGGTCTTCTTGGTATCCTGGTTTCCCTGACCCCTGCAAGTACCTTTGTGTCCTCCTGGATTATCCCAGTGCTCACACTGGGCCTCAGGCTTCAGCCACCACTCCCTACCCCTGGAACTCTGAACACTGTTTCTGTATTGCCATCAGAGCCAATCACCTCCATCATTGCCTTGTGAATATGGGTTTTTGAGTTTCTTCTTGCTGGGGGAGATGAGCTACCATTCACCTTGTGCGCACTGCTGACTCCTCAGCATTGGTTCTGACCCTTCCCACCTCTTCTCAATCTGCCTAGAATCCTCAGGCCTGTCACTTTGATCAACTGTACAGGCCATTACCAAGGTGAGATCTATGCGTGTAAACCTGAAAAGAATAAAACAACACATGGAACCTTTGAAAATGAAGGTGGGTCAACACGTTTTTGGAACTTAGGAGAAAACATAGCCTCTTTTTGAACTATTCTCAAACTTCAGATGATCACAACAAATAGTAACACCTCACTACTCTGCTGTTTCTTGGTGAAAATAGACTATCCTTTCAGTAGCAGAGCAGAATTCTGTAATCCTAGACCCTTTCATGCCACTTAGAATAAAAATGTTTCAGGGGCAGCAGGTAGAGTAGTGGTTAAGGTGCTGCACTCCCACATGGTTGACCACAGTCCTAGACTGGAGGCTTAAAATTCATGCCGGGCGTGCATGCATGCATGCCCAAAATCCTGAGAGGAGAATGGAGGAGAAAGGATTGTGGCATGGCCATCCTCCTCCCTGGGGTATGATTTCTCAATTTCTCTCTCTGTTGCCCCAGCAAGAACATGCATTCTATAGCAAAAAAATTCTCTAAAAAAAAAAAAAAAAAAAAAAGAAAGAATGAGAGAAAAGAAAAAACTTTCATCCTCTGATTGCCTCAATAAAACGCCTTTACTACTGATCCCTGTAGAACCTACCAACATAGTTGATATTTAGCAAGAGGAATCTCATAACTGTATTTTAATTTGTCTAGGGAAAAATGTATTGTTACTACAGAGAAGTTAAGAAAGTGGATGAAAGAAATTGAGGAGATTTGAGGTTGTGCCTCATGTCAATCAGAACATATTATAATTTTCTCAACTGATTTGGGGACTATGCACTTGAGGCAAGCAAAAAAAAAAAAAAAGAATCAAGACTTAAATATGAAAGAAAGAAAGAAGTAACAAAGAAAAATATGAGAGCCTGCTGACAGAGGGAGCTAGAGTCTTGTATACTGGCTGTGGGATTCCATAGCTATTAATGACACTAGAGTGTGTTCCTATTTCCTCAACAACTGTTCCATTGTCGTTCAGTTGAATGAATATTTAAGGGCTAATACAGGAAAATAGATGGAGAAACCTAGTGTTATAGAAGAAAAGAAAATGCCTTAACTAACATTTTGGGACCTACCTTTCTACTCAAAGAAAATTTGCCAGGGTAGTCCTGTAGCTCAGCAATTAAGAGAGCCAGGTCCCACATGGTCAACCACAGTTCAAAACCTAGCCCTGGTAGCTTGAAAAACGCACCAGGCGCATGTGTTCCCAAAATTCTGACAGGAAAGAATAATAGAGGAAAAAGGTTTGCAGCATGACCACACCCCGTTTGGGGGCACTTTCTCTTTCTCATTTCTCTCTGGTGTGCGCACACACACGTACACACACACACAAGTACACTCATACACTCACATATATATATATATATATATCCACACATATACATATATGTATACTGCTATATACAAATATCTATATGTACTTATATGTATATTTCATCTGATATGTATATATGTAAATACATATATGGAAGAGAGATGTTACCTATTTCTGATAAGTTCCCACAGGTCTTTCTCATTTTCTTTGCAGACTAGGATCCTTTCTTTTACTTGGTACCTGGAATTAGGGCCATGCTTAACTGCCTTGAATGACTTACTGAAAAACCCCTTTGTGCTCAGTAAAACAGAACAAGGCTAGAATTTCACACACACACACACACACACACACACACACACACACACACACACAACTTTGATTTCCTCTTAGCTTCTACATTAAAATTTCTTTTGTAAAATTTCACCCCAGTAAGACCCCTGGGAACTAATAAAACAAAAGTAACAGCTCTTGGAGGAGATTCCACTGGGGAAATCCCACCTCCAAAATAAGACTTGACAGTAGCCTAACAGGTAGTGTTAGTGAGTCTAGTAAGAATGTGTCATAAATGGTGGAAAGTAAAAGCTGAACAACAAAGTTAACATTGGCCAGTTAGCACTGTCCAGAAAAAAAGGTTGTGGCTGTTCTCATGTGGTTGTTCTCATGTCCAATGTGGAGAGAACCAAACAGTATTTCAGAGCTTAAAACGATTTGCATAGTGACAGTGACTGTCAGCACTCACAAATATGCATGTTCTCCTCTTCTTCTCCTATAACAGCCCCTCTATCCCTCTCTCAAACACACCAAAGTTACTAAACTGTAAAGTTTTTCAGAAGAGGAGGTTTCTGGAAGAGGAATTATCAGATACTCTGTTTTGGACACATTTCATCTGATATCTATTAGAACTGCGTGCAGAGATGCTAAGTGAAAGTTTAGGGGATACAGTCTAGGAATCATTGCGTATCTGTGGTATTCAAAACTATGAGACTGGAGCCCTTCGATCACAAGAAAATGAGGAGACTGAAAAGAGAAAAAATCCAAGGACATTTAACTTGGTTTCCCCTGAGACAGGAACTTGGGTGCAGGTTTTCTGCTGTGTAGTTATCCCTGGAAATACATGTAAGGAAAGTGAATAGGAAAGGAATACCATCCAACAAAGGGAGCATTAATGAGCTGCTACTACTGTGGGCATCTGGGACTCCATCCCACTGGGGGAATCTTTTGAGGCACTGTGTAAAAATCACTTCAAAAATTTGGGGGCTGGCAGGTGACGTGGTGTTAAGGTACTGTACTCTCATATGGCTAACTACAGTTTGCAGACCTGGTGGCTTGCTTTTTCACTTTTCATCTCACTTTCCCTGTCTCTCTCTGGTCAAATTGAAAAATAATAATAATAAATAAAAATAAATAAGTAATTATTTATTTTAAAAATCAAGTATTTATCTACCAGTTCCCATAGCTCATTGACTAAGGGTTGCTTATTGGTGGTAAGCCCTGTGCATAGACTGAACAAACTATCCGTAGAAAAACTAAGACACGTGTGCACTTGAAATGGAACACTGTCAGCACGCACAAGACCTGTCCACCACAGGTGGAGAAGACAGTGAAGCAGGAGGAAACACGACTCCATGGTATCTTTGCAGACAAACACAGAAGGTGTTTCAAGCAGGAGATATGTATTGGGACCAGTAGATGGCATAGCAGTTAACGTCACTGGATTCCCACGTGAAAGGTTTGAGAAGGGAATAGAACAAGAAAAGCTAATAAAGTTGTAATAACAAAAACTGAATGTGATGGTGGCATTTTACTCATCGATTAGGGTTTGCAACTAAGTGACTCCAGTCCTTATGTGACCTCCCAAATCCCCAGGTTGAGGTCTGAAATGGTCATTTATCTCCCTCTCTGTGGCTCCCCTGAAATTACCTGTGGTGGTTAATTTTATGTCTTCTTGACTGAGCCACTGGATGTACGATATTAACATTATACCAGGTGTGTCTATGAGAACATTTTCAGTTGATACTAGCATTTGAATCAGTAGAAGACTGAGTAACACAGATTGTTCTCCCTGTTGTGGGTGGATATCATCCACCTATTGAGGGCCTGAATAGAAAGAAAAGTTGGAATACGGAAAAATTGCTCTACCTGAGTGCTTGAGCTGGACATTGATTTTCTCCTGCCCTTAGGCAGGCACTTACCCTTGGCTTCCCTGGTTCTCAGGCTTTTTGACTTAGGTTACAATGTACACCATCAACTCTCTTAGGTCTACGGCAACTGGACAAAGATTGGAGCTACACCACTGACTTTCCTGGATCTCACACTTGCAATCAGTAGATTGTGGGACTTCACAGCCTTCATAATTGCATGAGTCAACTCCTTATAGAAATAAATCAGAGCACATAAGTCCAGAACCATTTTTTCCTATTTCTATGATAAGTTTTCTAAATTGGCTTTGGGGTTTCTGGAACTGACTCTCTACCCTGATTAGATTTAAAATGCTAAGGACTTTATTTACAATAGTAAAGATAGTACTGATATTCCACAGTATAAATTGGTAAGAGATTGAAAACAAATATCTGCACTGATATTCATAATCAACCACTTATAAGAAGAAAGAAAGAGAGTGGGATGATATGACACTTTAGAACATCTGGGGGAAACTAATGAATTGAATGAGGTTGGTTGGTTACTCCTAATGTTACTAGACAAGATGGCAGAGGAAAAGAATGAGCTCAGGGATTTGAATTCCCAGTTCAAAACTTCAAATTATTTTAACAATTCTGTATGCCCTGACAAAGACTTTCATCTCCTGTAGCTACAGGGCTAAGATTGCTGAAAATCAAATGTAGAAACTTATTGTGCCACTAACTGAATTTCAACTCAAGTTAAACCCCCAGGCTTGCACAATGTCTACTGTTAAAAGCAGGCACTGGCTGAGAAATAATAGGAGTAAATTGGAATGGGGATGTATGGGGAAACTGATGAGGTTGGGGACATTTGCTCTTATATTCTTATTTTATTTTATTATTTGACAAATCAAGGATATTACCACAAGCATCATTTTCTGCCGGGACCTGTTCATTTTTTTTTTTTTTTGAGTAGGGAAGACTGTGGATTAGAAATAGACACAATAACAAATACACAAAGACACACACGTATAGAAAAGCTAGGATCAGGTGGGCACAGCTTCTCTGATAGAAAAGTTGCAACCAGAACCAGCCTCAAGTTTATTCTTTTAAGGGGTATGGGGGGAGGGAACATGGATCTTGAACTTCAGCTGTGAAATATTGCTTTCAGAGACTTAAAATGAAGATTTTCTGCTGAGACTTCTTCCTCACTTATTTCTACTCCTACACAGTAAGTGTCTAGACAGTCCAAGTGAACAGGATCTAAACATCTGAATATAATTAGGTTCAGAATATTTCTCAATTCTTGGGACCAGCAGTTTGTATAATGGCTATGTCACTGGACTCTCATGTAGCCAACCGCAGTTCGAGTCCCAGTTCGGTGGCTTAAACTCACACTGGGCACGTGTGCGTGCATGCCCAAGATCGCAAGATGGGAATGGAGGAGAAGGGATTGCAGTGTGGCCATCCCCCCAAGGGATGATTCCTCGCTTTCTGTGGCTCTGTCTCTCTCTGTCTTTCTGGGGAGTGCATGTGCCCTGTAGCAATAAAATAAAATAATATTTCTCTATTCCCACTGATTCTGATGCACAAAGAGTGAGAACAGAATGGAAGAGAGATTGCAGATCAA